ACTGAATTTAATCAAGTAATTTTAATTGTTATTGATGCACTTCGTTATGATTTTATTAAACCAAATGATAATTTAATCAATAGTACTTATCTTAATCAAATGCCATTTATTAAAGAATTACTTAAAAGAAAATCTAAACAATCTGTTCTATTTAAATTAATTGCTGATCCACCAACAACAACACTTCAACGTTTAAAAGCATTAACAACTGGAACATTACCAACATTTATTGATGTATCATATAATTTTATTGGATATGAAATTGAAGAAGATAATATTTTAAATCAATTAAAAGAAAATTCTTATCAAAGAAATATATCATTATTAGGTGATGATACATGGTTAGCACTTTATCCAAATATACCATTTAAACATTTACATGTCTATCCATCATTTGATGTTCATGATTTAGATACAGTTGACAATGGTATTCTTAAACATTTATGGACAGTTATTGAAGATACACAACATCATCAACAATTATCATTTATTATTGCTCATTTTTTAGGTAAATTTAAATCTTTGAATTTATTCATCTAACGAGGGAACTACCCGAGGTATTAAAAAGCTGAAACTTTGCCCACAAGAAGGGGATACATAGACTAGAAAAAGCCTAAAAGGATATTTGTCCGAATTGGTGTTTGCCTGAGATATCGACTATTTATTGTATTTGTTCTATAGAGCCCTATCTGTGCGGTAAAATTAAAGTGTCGAATTTAGACCTCAAACTTTGTTTACAGTAAGGCCTCAATGAGACCAGCTTGCTTACAAAGTTTCAAAAATTTTAGACAGATTATCTCTGAGCTATGAATCCGTCAAAATATTCATGTGAAACCTAATATACATAAGAAAGCGTCTTTATGCTTGTATCTGGGAGACAGTCTTTCAGAAATTTCTGAAAGTTTGTAAGCCAGCTTGTCTCATTGCGTCCTAAATTCTATACTTTGATTTTACCACACAGATAGGGCTCTATAGAACAAATACAATAAATAGTCGATGTCTTAGGCAAACACCAACTTGGATACATCTCCTTTCAGGCTTTTTCCAGTCTATGTATCTCCTACTTGTGGGCAAAATTTCAGCTAAAGAGCTTTTTGATACCACGGGTAGTTCCCTCGTAAGTTTCATTTTATTTATATTTGAGTTTCTATATATTTGTAGGTGTTGATCATTGTGGTCATCGATATGGTCCATTACATATTGAAATGAAACGTAAATTAAATCAAATGGATGAAGTAATTCGAAATATAACTTTATCAATAAATAAATCTAATATTTCATCACTTCTAATGATTATTGGTGATCATGGTATGACACAACAAGGTGATCATGGTGGTGATGAATTAAATGAAATTGAAACCGCAATGTTTCTCTATACAAATAAACCCAATTATTTTTCATTATCTAATAATAAACAATATACTGTTTCACAAATCGATCTTGTTCCAACACTTTCATGGTTTCTTCATACATTAATACCATTTTCAAATATAGGTATGATGATTATTGATGTCATACCTAAAGAACAACGATATCTAGCAATGAAATTAAATTTTGAACAAATGGAAATTTATTTAAAACATATTTCATTAACACTTCAATTATCTGATAAAATACATGAATTACGTGCTAGTTTACATACAATATTTATAACATTTGATAGAGAAAGAAATTTAACACAAATTGAAAATTTATTTAATGAATTTAAATTTGAATTACAAACACATTTTCGTCGACAATGGTCAACATTTAATATATTTCGTATTGTTCTTGGATTAATTATTATGTTATTATCATGTATAATACTTCTATTTATTTATTTTGAATTTTCAAAAAAATCTATTGATTATAAAAATATAATTTTTACTATTAGTCTTACATTAATATATTTTGCAATATCATTTTCGAATAGTTTTATTATTAATGAAGCAATATGTCTTTATTTTCTTATTCAAACAATAATATTAATAACAAAAATGAATATTTTCAAAAAATTTCTTCTTTCGTTTCTTTTATTTTTAACACGAATATTTCTTATTTGTCGTGAAGAACAACAACCATATTGTATTGATCCTCTATGGTTATTATCAAAATCTTCAGATACTTCTCATTATTTTCTTCCATTTATGGCATCAATTGCTTGGTTTATTATTCTTATTTTAAGCTCAAATTATTCTTATATATCATATATAATCATTGTTGCTTATTGGTTTAATATATCTCATACATTATCAATATTTTATTTGAGTGTTATCATTCAATTTTGTTTTGTTTTATTTAAACCATCTCATATAGATACATTGATTTATTCAATTCTTATATTTGTAGTTGGTTATCGATTTTCATTTGTGATATTTTTACAATATTTTATATATTATATAATTTTTAAGAATAATAAGAATAATCAATCATTACCACTTTTGTTATCATTATTAGCGGATTATTTTTTTTATGCAACCGGCCATCAACCAGTTCTTTCACAAATACGTTGGACAGCAGCATTTCCAACAATAAATACGCCATTACATATTTATCTTTCATCAATTATTAATTCATTATTTGTACGTGGAGTTTTCGTTCTTATTGAAACATTTTCTGGTCAGATATTAAATATTATTCTTATTCGTAAAATGATTCCAAAGAAATATCAAGGAAATTTATTAAAACATATTCTAATTGTTGATTGTTTTAAACTATTGATGACATCATTAAGTGTATTTATATTAAGACGACATTTAATGTTATGGAAAATATTTTCTCCACGATTTTTATTTCAACTTGTAGGATTTATTATTAAATGTTTATTTGTTTTTTTGACAATGAAACTACAAAAATGAACATAGTTGTATTCTCTTTCTTTTCGATACTTTTTTTCTAGATTATTTAAAAATTAATTTAAACTAATTATGATTCGATTCATTCTTATTCAAAATCGAGCTGGAAAAACTCGTTTGGCTAAATGGTATGCACTTATGACTTAATTTTCAAAAGAATTGATTTTGATAAGAACTCGTATCAGTGGTGAATATTTCAAGATATTAACGTTCCTTTTTTGAAATAATCACTATATCGATTCATATAAACCACAGTGTTGCTCTCAACTATAGTTGTACTGCTGTACATTATAGTCTAATACTGAGGTTCTCGTTTGTAATGAATGAGAAGTCGCAGATAACTTTGCAGTACCCGATTTTGAGAAGCACAATTCTTTGAATTATGTTTTACGTGGACAGGCTGAGTGTATAATTTAACAATCTTAAAAGAAGTAAATTATCTCTTTCTTACTTTTATTAGATCAATCTTTTCTTGTGAAGTTTTTTCAATAATGATTATCTGATAAAATTTAATACATGTATATTTTTCCATAGGTTCATGAATTTTCATGATGATGAAAAACAAAAATTAATTGAAGAAGTTCATGCTTTAGTCACTGTACGTGATGCAAAACATACAAAGTAAGTTTTACAGAAAAAAGTATTTTTCTTTCTAATGAATTCATTGATTTTTTCTTTTAATTTATTTAGTTTTGTCGAGGTATTATAATTCATATAAAAATTAAAAATGAAACTTATTCATATATTTGTTTTTAGTTTCGTAATTTTAAAATAGTCTATCGTCGTTATGCCGGTTTATACTTTTGCATTTGCGTGGATGTTAATGATAATAATTTAGCTTATCTTGAAGCAATACATAATTTTGTCGAAGTTCTTAATGAGTAAGTTAAAATCAGATAATGAAAAAAAGATTTGAAATTAATCAATTTTTGTTTTTTTCTTTTAATGAAAAGATTTTTTCATAATGTATGCGAACTTGATTTGGTCTTTAATTTCTATAAAGTAAATAAATCTTTTTATTTTTATTTATTTACTGAAATTATTGTCTTTCTAGGTTTATTCGGTAGTTGATGAAATGTTCTTAGCTGGTGAGATACGAGAAACAAGTCAAATTAAAGTGTTAAAACAACTTACAACATTAACATCACTTGAATAATTGATTTTCATTTAATATTCATATTATATTTTATTCCTTTTTATATTAATATTTGTCACATGATTGCGTAGTTGTCATTCCATTTAAACGTACCTATAGATATTCACTTCAAAGTTTTCTTTTTCTCAATCATATTTTGATCTTTATGTGCAATAGATGATGTTGTCTTGTCTTATGAATAAAATCTAATCAAAATTAAACAAAAATGTTTTCTTTTCATTTTTTTTCAAAAAAGTAAAAATATACTGGCTGTTGAATTAACTTTGATTTCTTTGTTCAGCTACATAAACAATGATAATATTTAACCTGTTGGAGAAAGAGAATCTGATTTACAATAGAATATTTTACCTGATGTTGTTTCCAATTATGAATTATGTTCAAGATGAAGGAAAAATTTCTAGAATAAATTCTTTTAGCATAGACATATGTGGAAATGTTATAAACCTTTGAGAGTATACTCGAAAATCCAAGTCACATCTATGATAGAATTTTCCTCATAAAAACGGGACACACTTTCCGATTTCTCCTCATACAATTATTAGGGTAGTTTTTCTTCAGTATATTCGTATACCGTCAAGTCGCTGACGAAAAATAAATCTATTTTATCCAAAAATACTTTGAGTAGTAATTTAAAGCCCTTTGATTGTCTATAGACTGTACTATTTAATTTCGAAAAAAAGAATGAAAATCGATGTCTTACTTTAAGTTCGTTAACAAATGATTTTGTCCATATATCAATATAATTGAACGATTAAAATCTGAAATATTCAACTTCCATTGTTATTTTTGTATTAAGATTTTGATATATTCTTTTTCTAGATAATATTGTGGATTATTTGCCATAGTATTATTTCTTGGTTTTATTATTAAAATTTCATAAGAATTATCATGACTGAAAAAAACATTCGTAGATTTCAAACAGCTCTTTTATTAATTACAAATCCAATTCGTGCACGAATTCCATCTATTCTTTCTTCTGTAATTCCATATGTTGAAAGAAATCTTTATGTTATTTTTCAAAATCCAAATATTCATTTAACAACATCTTCGGAAAAATTATTCCATGATTCTGATCAACAAAAACAACGGATACGACCTATGTTACATGCTATTTATAAACAATTAACAGCAACAAAATATCCTTCTGTTGACATTCTACTTCATAATATTGATTCAACAATTAAATCAACAAATCCATTGCGATTACCTCGTCAATGTCAAGTAGTTTTTGCTGATTGTTTAGCATCACCGGGATTGTATAGTTATTGTCGAGATCATTTTTGTCAATTAGATCAAGATTTTGAAATTCGAACAATTGATGAAAAAGAAACAAAAGAAGATCAATCTACTGATAGTTCATCTATATCTGATAATGATTTATTTAATAATAAACCTACAAGTCAATATAACCGAGGCGTTTTGGGTGGTAAATAATTATTTATTATAAAAATTAAGCTATATTATTTATTTTTCTTAGGTACATTTGATAGATTACATAATGGACATAAATTATTACTTACAGAAAGTGCTTTACTTTGTGATGAGAAGATTGTTGTTGGTATAACCGATGGTATTATGATACAGAATAAGGTTAGTTTCATATTTTTATTTGTTTGAATTAGAATTAAACGATAGTGTGTTTATATAGGTATTAGCAGAAGTTCTCGAGCCAATTGCTGATCGTATGTCAAATGTTCGTTCATTTATTGATTTAATTCGACCAAGTATTCATGTTCATTGTGAACCAATTGAAGATCCATGTGGCCCATCAGCAACAATGGCTGATTTAAATGTAGAAAGTTTTTTCTTGCTTTTCTTCGATAGATAAAATATGATTATTTAGTGTATTATCGTTTCGGAAGAAACAAAACTAGGTGCTGTACAAGTTAATAAAGAAAGAAAAGAAAATGGTTTATCTCAACTACCTGTTCATGTTGTACAGACGATTCCAGCTAGTGATGATAATCATGATGGAGATGATAAATTAAGTTCAACATCACTTCGACGAGAAATGCTTAGCATTCTTCTTAAACCACCATTGGTAAATTCAATTTCTGTTTTGTATTAATATTATTTTATTATCTGAGTATATAATAATAATTATAGAAATCAGCTGAATTAAATCGTCCATATATTATTGGCCTTACTGGTGGTATAGGTTCAGGAAAATCAAGTATTGCTCGTCGAATTGAAAAACTTGGTGCTGGTATTGTTGATTGTGATAAATTAGGTAAGTAAATCATTTTTATAATCATTAAAAAATTATAATATATATATACATATAGGACATGAAACATATAAAGTCGATACTGACGTCTATAAGAAACTAATTGAAACATTCGGTGAAGAAATAATTAATTCCATTGATCGTTCTATCGATCGAAAAGTACTTGGTAAGAAAGTCTTTCAATCATCCGATGAACTCAAAAAGCTAACAGATATTGTCTGGCCTGCTATTTTAAATTTGGCACAAGAACGTACCGAAAACTTATTTAAAGAAGGTAACATAATAAACTTCTTTATTTTATCCTTTGATATATTTTCAAATTGAATTTCTTAGGTAAAAATGTGATTATACTTGATGCAGCTGTATTACTTGAAGCAAAATGGACAGTAGCAGTAAATGAAATATGGATTGCATCTATTCCTCCAAAAGAAGTATGATTTTTATATTTATTTATTGATTGATGCTATATTGTTATTCTTTAGGCTATTCGGCGTGTTATGGAACGAGATCATATATCATCTGATGAAGCAAAACGTCGTTTAAATGCTCAAATGTCAAATCAAGAACGATTTCCATATGCTAATGTTCTTCTCTGTACTTATTGGGCAGAAAGTGTTACTCAAAAACAAGTTGAACATGCTTGGCACTTACTTTTAAAACGAATTAATGTTTCTTCAGTTTAATTTCATTAACGTTAGTTCATTTTATTGAGAAATTTCTTTTATTTTTGATCATTATAAGTTATGTGCTGTTGAGATTATTTATTAATTATTTAAAAAAAAAGAAAATATGATTATAAATGATTTTATTCTTTGATTCTAAAACATGAAATTGCTCAACTATAGTCTGTAATTATTGCATCAGTTGCTATTAATCTTGTCATTATATAATTAAAAAAAGAGATCTAACATTTCAAGTTGTTAATTAGATATGAAGTCATTTAAAATGACTAAAAATAAATAACAGATACAATTACTCTTTGAATAAATCATCTATTTCTAGTAAAAAAAAAGATATATATAAATTTGTGATCGAAGATATTATAGAAAATTGTAAATGAGCTATTGCTACATAGATTGTCATAGTAACGGTATGATTATAACACTCTCACTCGCTCTCATCTACACCTGTGAACTGTTTCGTCCCATAAGTCAATGTAACTCATCCCATTTTATGAATCATTCCAAAAACAAAATATCGTCCAATCCGATCGAATGGGATATTAGTTCCCATGCAGTGCCCTGATGGAAGTTGTTTGCTTATAATAAATGATTGAATACGTGTTTCTTTTAGCACTACACTTTGTTTTTATTGATATTTATCGATAAAATCTTTTATGAGAAAATAACACACCTGCTATTAGTTTTTGTCCTTTTTATACGTGTTTTTGAGTGTATTGTGTTACTCTATTCGAGTATTCAAAATGCAGACCTTAATTTTCCTTCTCATTGCTGGTATTTCAAGTCTTACCCACGCACAAGCTCCATCAGATGAAGCAAGACATAAACTTGTAGGACTAATTGCAGATGTACGTGGAGCCGATGGACGTCGATATGGTTCACGTGATCATCTAGGAAATACAATGGATTGTGTTAAAATCATTAAACGCACTGATAGTGAACAATTCATTGGTGTTTACCATACATATATCAATGAAGTACCACGAGTTAATTTAGCTATATCAGATGATCTTATAAACTGGACATGGTTACGTGAATTAGCTTATTTTGGTTCACAACCCACAATTGCTGTACCTAGTGACCAACCCCAAGGTTATATTGTTGTCTGGGAGCAAGAACCAAAAAATCATTTACGATTTGCTTTTTACCCAACATGGTCCGATTTAGAAGCTGGTATCTCTAGAAAAAACTATTCTGTTCCACGTACAATATCTCCTTTTGCTGAAGGTACTCCAAGTATATATGGTCAACCAACAGTTAATAATATTGATCTTGGTTTTCACTATTATGATAAGCGTATTGTTGATAAACAAGCTCGAGGTACTTTGAAAAACTTTGGTCTATGGACTCAATTTCGAAAACAACCAAATTTTGATAATGCATTACTCCATTATGGTGTACAAGGTAATATTGGTGACCGAGATACCATTACCAACTTCGACAATTATGAATTTACTGCCATCGAAGGACAATATGGACGAAAAGATTTTGGCACTTGGCGCACATTCATATTTGATCCACAAACAGGTAATGCTGATCAAGTACCAGTTATCACAGATGGAGGAAGTCAAGCATTCGCTAATCCAACAATGACACTTACTACATGGAAAGGTCAACAAATTTTAATTGTTACTCTTTTTGTTCCTAGTGAACTGTCAGCACCAGGTGAAGCAGGTGAACTTATCTATTATCGTAAACTATAAACTATTTTTTATTTTGAAATCTTTTAATAAATATTTGAAAGATTATCTTATTAATAGTATTATTTATATAATGTTTTTTCAACTATCACAATCAATAATTATTTTATCATAAAATTATACATTGTTAATATTGTAAGAGATTGGCATTTAAATGTGTATAAATCTTTTAGTAAACGTCATATTATAACAAGAAAGCAGAATAAGTTAAAGTTTGGATTCATCATCAAATGATCATTTGTTACTTCAAGTAAATATTTGCAGCCTATTAAAAAAACTATTTCGTTCCATAAGTCAATGTAACCCATCTCATTCCATGAAACATTTCAAAAAAAAAAGATATCGTCCAATCCGATCGAATTGGATATTAGTTTCCATGCAGTGCCCTGATAGGACTTGTTTGCTTATAATAAAAGATTAATACTTTATCACAATTTCATATTGATTACGTGTTTCTTTTAGCACTGCACTTTGTTTTTATTGATATTTATCGATAAAATCTTTTATGAGAAAATAACACACCTGCTATTAGTTTTTGTCCTTTTTATACGTGTTTTTGAGTGTATTATGCTACTCTATTCGAGTATTCAAAATGCGGACCTTAATTTTTCTTCTCATTGCTGGTATTTCAAGTCTTACCCACGCACAATCTCCATCAGATGTAGCAAGACATAGACTTATAGGACTAATTGCAGATGTACGTGGAGCCGATGGACGTCGATATGGTTCACGTGATCATCTTGGAAATACAATGGATTGTGTCAAAATTATTAAACGCACTGATAGTGAACAATTTATTGGTGTTTACCATACATATATCAATGAAGTACCACGAGTTAATTTAGCTATATCAGACGATCTTTTAAACTGGACATGGTTACGTGAATTAGCTTATTTTGGTTCACAACCTACAATTGCTGTACCTAGTGATCAACCCCATGGTTATATTGTTGCATGGGAGCAAGAACCAAAGAATCATTTACGATTTGCTTTTTATCCAACATGGTCTGATTTACAAGCTGGTATACCTAGCAGAAACTATTCTGTTCCACGTACATTATCTACTTGTGCTGAAGGTACTCCAAGTATCTATGGTCAACCAACACTTGATAATATTGATGTTGGTTTTCACTTCTATGATAATTGTGTTGTTGATCGTCAAGCTCGAGGCACTTTAAAAAACTTTGGTTTATGGACTCAATTTCGAAAACAACCAAATGTTGACAATGCATTACTTCATTTTGGTGTAAAAGGTAATATTGGTGATCGAGATACTATTTCCAACTTCGACAGTTATCAATTTACCGCCATGGAAGGACAATATGCACCAAATGATTTTGGAACTTGGCGCACATTCATATTTGATCCACAAACAGGCAATGCTGACCCAGTAAATGTTATTACAGATGGAGGAAGTCAAGCATTTGCTAATCCAACAATGACACTTACTACATGGAAAGGTCAACAAATCTTAATTGTTACTCTTTTTGTTCCTAGTGAAGGACACGCAGAAGGTGAAGCAGGTGAACTTATCTATTATCGTAAACTATAAACTATTTTTTATTTTGAAATCTTTTAATAAATATTTAAAAGGCTATCGTATTAATACTATTATTTATATAATATTTTCTCAAGTATCACAATCAATAATTATTTTGTCATAAGATTATACATTGTTAATATTGTGAGAGATTCGTATTTAAATGTGAATAAATCATTTAGTAAACGTCATGTTATATGTCTTCAATATGCAACAAGCATTTAATAAGAATAGAGAATAAGTTAAAGTTTCAATTCATCATCGAATGGTTCATACGTTATATTTAATTTCATTGCAGTCAGGAGTATCAAGATAGTTGATACATGATTTTGATTAGTATTAGTTCAAGCAGAACATAAATAAAGACAGATCTTAGCTTCATGGAAGACATATTATCATTTAAATAGCTCTAATAGTTGTGAATCAATTTCGATATTGATTATAGTCACTTT